AAAGAGAAGTAGGAAGGAGAGAGAGTGTGAGTTGGAGACAATAAATATGGGTAAAATAGGAAATCAGCATAAAAAAGTAGAGACAACTTTTAAGTGTCTCTTATATATAGGAACATGCCATAAGCATCAAATGTCTTTTATAATAAGGAACGGAGGGAGTAATTTTTTTTCCTTTATTGAGATCTCATTGTAATTTTCTTAAGAAGATTGAGCCTTCAATTTCCTGACCAAGAGATATATATTTTGTTGTTTCTCTCTGGCCAGTGACGAAATATATGTATATATATTTGTACATATTCTGCTGCCCATAGTTTTATACATGTCACTTATCACAAAGCCGTGAGGCATATGCAAGGAAAATAAAGTAATGATCAATAAGAACAAGAGGCAATAAATTCTGTGTCTTTGCATATTTTGTTGTTTGCTTTGGACGAACTTGTATATGTTGTTGTTGACTTGTATCGATATCAATGTTATGGGAATCTCTTGAACCCATCGACAAAGTCTCTTTCTCCCCTGGCAACATATATATATCCAAATTAAGTATTCGGGACCACACATATGGAATCTAATGCTCCCCATGGTTCTTATTAATTAATTAATGAAGATTATTTATAAGACCCAAATAAAAATAAATAAATAAAAATATATCTCTAGAATTTTACTTGTTATTAATAATTAATTCGATAACTATTTTTAGAATCATTGAAAAGGATTTCAGTTTTTAAATTATTAAATATGATGAAAATAAGTGCTCAAATAGTGTTTCATCTTGTTAGATAATTAATTTATAAATATTTTAAAAAATTAGTTATTTATAATAAACATATGTTGTTTTCTCTAAAATGCCAGTATTAATAATTATCAACATTGATGAAAATCCCTTTTCATATGATTAAGTAACATGAAAACAAACAATACTTTAACTAACTCGTCTATAATTTGAGAAGGGAAGGAAGGAAAGTATAGGTTCTTATTAATTAAGTAATGAAGATTATTTATAAGCCCCAAATAAAAAAAATTAAATATAAACACATCTCTAGAATTTTACTTGTTATTAATAATTAATTCGATAACTATTTTTAGAATCATTGCAAAGAATTTCAGTTTTTAAATTATTAAATATGATGAAGATAAATTATGAGTGCTTAAATAGTGTTTCCTCTTCTTGCAAATATAAAAGTTAGATAATTAATTTATAAATATTTAAAAAAATTAGTTATTTATAATAAACATGTATTGTTTTTTATAAAATGCCACTATAAATAATTATCAACATTGATGAAAATCCCTTTTCATATGATTAAGTAACATCAAAACAAACAATACTTTAACTAAATCGCATTTGGAGGATGGAAGGAAGGAAAGTATAGGTTTAACTTGTGGTCAAAGTGATCACAAAGGATATGGCATATGGGAAACAAAGGAAGAAGAAAGTGTAATATGCTTTTGGAAGGCTTCAAGTGAAAGCCAAGATGCGTAAGGGAGTGAGTCCCTAAACCCTAATAATTAGAATCACTCACTTTTGAAGCCAAATGCCACTCATCTCTGATCTCTTTATTCCTTTTCACTCACAACATCTCATCACTCTTCCATCTCAAGCAACACTCCATTTAATTTGTATCTCTCTTGTGCTGTCACTGCTGGTTTATTTTCAATTATTTTACCGCCTTTGAAAATGACCCCCTTCCATCCTTCATCATGGCCTTCTGTATATCTTTTTTCAATTAGCCTTTTGATTTTTAGGACAATTGAAGGAAAATCCTCCGTTAAAAATTTTATTGATAAGAGAAAGATTGATAAATTTTCATACACATACAAATTACCAATATTCTTTGTACCCTTTGAGTGCTTGCATTCTGATTTAGGTCATTTTCATTTTTCACTAATAATGTTTTTAACAACAGATTTCCCCCCAGTTTTCCCTGATTTCTTTCCTAATTTTCTTCTTAAGAAACGCATGCATTTCAATTCATGTGGGTTTGAATTCATGTGGGTTTGAAGATGCATAAAACAAATAATGTCTGCGTGGTATTAGAGAAAAATGGAAGGAGCTAGACAATATTGGAACGTACAACTGGTGATGAAAAGAAAGGTCTTCCCTTAATTTGTCAAATCAATTAATGTACTTTGGGGAACCTCTTGGTGACGTTGGTCCATGCTCCCTCCGTCTTATTAAGCTGGTAGTTGCCCTGTCAAAACATGACATCTTCTTTAAATTCCTGTTCTCTGTATATTTTCCCAATATATGATCATGAAACTCCATCAATATGAACGTGGAAAATATAATGAATACAAAATTACAGTTATGACTTATGACTTGGTTTGATTTGACCCTTTGTGTTTGGTTTTGACAGCTAATTGATGCAGGTTGAAAATCAACCACATGTCTAGGTCGTTGAGGTTTGGATTCTAGCTATGATAGAGGGTTGGGTGATGTTTATGAAATTATTATGAAAAGGATAAGGAGCTACAATTCTTCAAGTTTCTGAAACATCGCGATGAAGTTTTGTTAATTTCTAAGCATTTTGTAATAATAAGAAACCTGTGATTGAATTAACTTCACATTTTCACCATATTCTATAATATATTATTTTTTATTCTAATTATAAGATCTTGTTTGTTGATTATAAATAATATTTTACAATTACGACCGGAAGTAATACGCAAGAAGAGAGAGACGAATGTCAATTTGTAGCAGTCCTAGCATAGAAAGACAACGAAGAGATGTCGACAAAAGTGGATAAAACAAAGGAATTGGACACTAAACAACAATTTAGTAGGTCTTGGATCATTGTAAGAGTAGAAAAATGTGAAGAATCTCTGAGTTTTATCCAACTACATCTTTTGGCCTCGTGACCTACCCTTGAAAATTATGATAATATTTACCCATCGAAATTTTTAAAAAAACATTATAAGCACTTTTTTTTTTTTGCTTTGTGGCTTGGCAGCTAGTACACATAAGCCTGTCTTTCTAATTAGTTTTTCACCCCTTAAATTACTATATTATTTATTATTCTTAGGATACCATTAACGATTAAGAAAACACGGAAAGAATCATATATATATATATATATATATATTGGGTAGAGGGATAGGCCATATATATAGCGATGCTAGGATTTCAACGCCGACACACCTTGTCTTCATTATATATCATGTTCCTTTTTATTTAGCGTTGGGAACCCACCAAGTTCATTTCTTCATCCTCTGTGTTTCTTGTCATTGACTTGTGTGTGTGTGCTTGTTTCTCCTCTCTCTGATTTTCTCATTTTCAATTACAATTTAATGATCAAAGAATCAAAAATACTTTGCCAAATCAAAAGATTCTTAACAACGATGAAAATTACATGTCTTCTTCTATCTGAAAAAAAGTAAGTCCATCTATAGGTTTCCAAGAAAAATACAGTTTGTTATCATGGCAATGTGTTTCAATTACAATATTTTGAGACTAATTTTTTACACTCAGGCAAATAAATTAACTGCAAACTTAACTAACCGAAGAGAAACTGGCATCATAAATAAAGATTATAGTGAGTGAATGTAATTTTTGGCTGAGTGACTAAATGTGATTTGATCTTCATTTTTTAAGCAGATGTCTCTGAAGATATAAAATGTGATATAAATTACAAAAATCTACACCCTTGGAGAAATTACAAATATCTTGCCTGAAACAAGAAATTAAAATTATCTTTCCTTTAATTCTAAAATAATTTTTCATCAAAATATTTTATACTTAATTAATTCTTTTCATTTAATATATAATATATGTATTCCGTAAAAAATTATCTTAAAGAAAGTTCACATAATTTATTTGCCTTCTTAAATCTTGACCGCACATCCAGTGTTGGCATTCATACTTGGAATAAATATATTATACTTTGACAAAAATTTTAAAATATTAAACCAATAATTCAGTACATTAACAAAGTGTTACCTCAGTTCACTTTTTTTTTTTTGAGCAAACAGTTCATTTGATTTTATAGACGCGAAATTTCTGCTTATACCAGAAAGCAATGAAATCTTTACAAACTTTAATCTCAGATTTTAGGCAAACTTTACAAGATATAAGCCAACAATGAGAGAAACTTGCATTGGAGCGGAGCTGTCGCTCTCCATTCAATACAGAAAGGTGAAAACCCACTAAATTGATACAAATGAGAAAACAAGAGCAATAGCCGTTGTCATGAGAGCATTCCACTTGCTTACATGCAATTAGTTTTCAACAAAGTAGTATTGGAGTGGAGCTGTCGCTCTCCATTGTGAGCCCTCCCCATGTTTTGTTTTGATGAGAATGGGATTGTCTGTCCAGGAGGGTGCCCTACCTTAACCACAGAAGAAAAGAGAGCTCAACCCCACTTTATTCACCATATTGCTTTATTACTTGTAAAAGTTAGGCAATCACCCCTCACAACGAACTCTGAATAAAAAGCAGCCTTAGGTGACGCTCCTCATCTAACTCTGCCTACATGCTTCACATGTCTAAACCAAGACTTTCATTTAATGAGAAAAAGAAAAAGAAATTATGATTGAAGATCTAAGAAGGGGACGAGTTAATTAATTGATCTACCACTAGCCATCAGGTTTGGAGGACATGATGTAGAGTTATAGAGTTCGGACACTTTTATTGTTAATGACTATTGAGCGGAAACTCTCCACCATACACATCATAGAGCATGTTAAGTGTTGTGTGCGGGTATGGACATTTTTTTGGCAGTCCATCTTTCAACGAAGCGTCATGGGAAAATTAAATTTATGTCTGTTACTCCAAGTAAGTTGTTTTCTTCAGTTCGTACTACATGCTACAGAATAAGCTGTTTAGTCAAGTCAGTGTACCCAACGAACTTAAATTTATAGGCAATGCCTGTAAACTAGAGCGGAGCCTTATTCAGTAGGATTGGGCCTGCATTAGGCATAACGAAACTAGGATATTTACGGTTGGATGACAGACAGCAAGGGATGAGAGGAAAAGTAAGCCAGTATTATTGAATAAAAAACGCTCTTATAATGGACCCCAGAAGCTCCTTACGAAGTGTTAGACTGCAATATTACTACACTTACCTTCTGACTTGTATAACTTCCTCCAACAGAGCTACAAAGTATAATAACAAGTGTCAGTTTTAACAGGTACAGCGACTCTCATGTTTTACTTGCTTGTGCCCGTCAAATTAAGGGTTGTTTAGAAAGGTAGTCTGCTATCTTTTTTGGTAACATTAGTATGTAATCAGAAATGTAGCCTGTTATGCTTTTTTTTTTGGTAACATTAGCATGTAATCACTAAACTTTCTGGGTTTGGTCTTGGTTCTGGGCTTCCTTGCTTGGGCTGGTTCATCGTTTCCCCCTCCTTGTTCAGAGACTGGGCCTGCCGTTGCTGTAGTATTATTTTTCTTGTAAACGAGAGAGAATGATAAATTGAAATCACGGCTAAAAATGTACCTTTAGTTGATAATTATGGTATTACAGTGCTTTCTCTTGCGCCTTCTTGCTTCCCGCAAAATCCGTTCACTTTCTTCCTTCGCTTCCTTTGTCCATTTCCCATATAGGTCTTCCCAAGGAAACATATTTCCAGCAGTTAATTCCCATTCAAATGAAGCTTGGTTATTTATGGAGACTTCATAAACACTTAAAATAAAAAATAATATAAAGACAAGTCATAATTACAAGGTGTGCTATAATATGAAGTAACCACAATTGAGATCTTCCCAAGGAAACATATTTCCAGCAGTTAATTCCCATTCAAATGAAGCTTGGTTATTTATGGAGACTTCATAAACAATTAAAATAAAAAATAATATAAAGACAAGTCATAATTACAAGGTGTCCTATAATATGAAGTAACCAGAAATGTAAGTCAGATTCTAAAGATTTTTTGTCGTATTTATTTATCTGATTTTGAATTGCAGCTATCACCTAGCTTAAACAGCCACTAATCTGTTGGCTGTTGTTTTCTAGAAACTAGCATGAATCTAGAAGTGGACTCCCGAACCTAGCACTGAAAATGGAGTTGATTATACATTTATGGTCATCCGATTTCAAACTATACCGGAACTTGAAGAGAGATTGTTTAGATGACATAGGCGGACAAGGTGATGTTAACCTCTATAAGATACGCTTCAAGGGAAAAAAATCTAGCCAGTAAATATAGACAAAAAGCGGACAATCACTCCAGCTTTGCCAACTACCTGTGCATTTTTCGGACAGGCACGAAAAACTTCCATCAGTCTCCTCATCCGATTCAATGATAATTTTACAGTCTCTTTCTCCCCGATCATGCTGCCATAAAATTTCAAACAGTAGCTGGAAAATTAGAAAGGCAGAGATGCCTTTGCAAGGTAACAAGCAGAGATTCTTTAGCGAGAAAATAAAAAGAGACAAATTTCAACGTCAAGTGCATTTATTATAACTGTCCTCATGTCATACTGATGATTGACAGGAAGCCAGGACACAAAAATCTGTTTGAGTTAGAAGCTTAGAATAATATATGACAAAAGAAACTAATTTTAGAAATACCTTTTCTAAGCAAGGCCCTTTTTGCTTGTGCTCTTTGTCAGACAATCTATCCGAAAAAGCAACTTTTTTGACCGATTTCCAGCCTTCATTTCCTACCTCTGGAGCTCTAGTAGCTTGTACATTAATTTTAACACCACTGAAGTCAAGAAAAATACCCATGAGCTTCCATTCTCCCCATGTGAGTTCCAGAATAACTACTCTAGCAGCATATAGAAGCATGAACGCACTGGGGCAGATCGAAGAAGGATGCAATAAAATGTATCATTACACTTCGATAGACAGGGATATGGATTGCTGCCAATTTGTGGAGTTAGATGGCTTATAACCGACAATCATTATTCGGATCCAAAAATTCAGTTGATAAATATCATCATTTTTTTTTTTTTTTTGCTGTGACAGGATTAGCATGTTGAATTATGTCTATGTGATCGAGATGTAAACACCACGTGATCACCATCTGTCCCTGCCCAATTTCTTTCAGATCAAACATCATAAAACATAAAAATCATCCTGCAGCATGTTTTCCCTCGTTTTAAGAAGTGAAAACCATATGAAAATGTCTCTGTGAGAAAAGCTTCAAATTGTTTCATTAGATGCTTGCCAATGAGATTGATCAACTTATAATGCAGGTAAATGAATATATCTTTTCTGATTGAGCAGAAACACTAGTAGTGATAGTTATGTGGCAAACAAACCTAACAGGAACCTGAAGCTTTTTTGGTATGGTAACTGGGTTGCCGATACTCTGCAATCCAACAATGTATCAGTTATTACTACTAGTCTTCTCACCATAAAAAATGACTGCAGGTTCAACATGTAATAGAAATAAATAACCTTGTTCGATATAGTAGCTGGAGCCAAATCTTTTCTATTAAGGCTTTTTAAGCTGCAAGAAACAACCTGAAAGTACTCGTTGACAAAGCATCAAGGAGAATGAGCACTGAAATCTCTATATAAAAGAAAGGAGAGACAAAGAAGGGCCAGGGCCGGGGGGGGGGGGGATGAAAAATATAGACAAGAATACTTTGAGCACTCTTCGTATTGGATAAAGATCTGTAATTTACCCTAAACAAAGTCAAAAACTTTTATCTTAACATGTTTCAGATATCATTCATTGCCACATCTTACGTGCCTGCATTTCCTTGGAAAAGTTGTTCTGTAATTCCTTTTGTAGATTCTGTAGAGATGCTTCAATTAACTGTGGCAATGTTGAGACAACCAAAAATGTTTCTTGTAACTTGTCTTGGCTCGTGACCTTGCTCACTTGATCAGATAAAGATTTCAAACTCCCATCAATGCTTGTTTTAATTTCTTCTTGTCCTTTGGTCTGATTGAAAACCGAGATCTCTAAGTTAGGTGTTTACAAAGGCTGATGCTTAAACATTCATACTATTCTAGATCTCAAGTTGAAATTTAGGTTATTACCATTAACTGAAGTGTGCTATCTTGAGCAATCAACTTCTGCCTCATATGTTCCACTGAATTAAAAATGAAAAATGAACAACGTATACTAGGTTATAGATGTCGTTGACTAATGAAGCCAGAAAATATGCTTCGGTTATGATAGTTTTGAAACTGGATCATATATACAACAGGACCAACAGAAGTCCAGTTTTAGCAACACGACATTAAATACATGCTGAATTGTAAATCAAGATAGACATAATATTTTCTAGGCTAGAAATCAGAGACCTGCATTTGGTTGAACTGTGACCTAAGGACTGGCCGGAAGACGATTGAAAAAATGGAGAAAGAAAAAAAGACAAAGGACATGCAAGATTTTATCCGGAATGTTGGAAAAATTCATTATACCGACAAAAATTTGAAGCTACCGAAGATATAATCTAACCTTCAAATTAATTTACCCTAAATTAACTGGTTCCAATTGCAAACACAAAGTATCACATTCATAAATCCTTTTCAAAATATTCTCTGTATCTAAAGAGTTAACCACTTACTCTCCAAAGTAACTTCCTTTGTCCCTTTGTTTACTTGCATTACATCATTTTGAATGGAATCCAAGATCATCGCGAACCTGCTCAATGAAGTTTCCATTATTCCAATTCGGTGTTCAAGTCCTTCACTTAACTGACCTGCCAGAGCAGATGACAGTAAGAATCTTTTGTAAAGGCTTATACACATGTACAAGACACTGAACTAATTGGTCTGCCTGCTCTTACGAAGCTTAAATGAAGGCACATCACTTCCAAATATGTCAAATATGGATACTTAAGATTCGAGCAATAGACTTGTAACTTTATGGATTAACCCATACTTTTAAGTTCTACAGAATTCCATTTGCGCATGAGATTGGCTGACGATCTGGAGTTAGGTGGCTGACTTTCTTCCCGTCCATATGTAAGTGCGGGGAAGCAAGAAAGCCTTTTCACGGAGTTCTCACGTTCTTGAGAACCAAGTCTCTGAAAGAATAAAAAGAGCACAATGAACATGAAAGCAAAATGTTGGGTTGCATATATTTATGATTATATACTTATTAAATGAATATAAAGCTTAAACAAGATGTTATGTTCATTTCATTTGAGATATGTTAAACTTGGATTAGGGAAAATTGTAACCGGTAAATCCTATGACGCTTTTCAATAGTTAGAGAATAGAAACAGCGTAGAAAGGTTTTTCTTCCCAAATTTGTGGACATAATTGATAATTCTTACTCAGGGCTGTGCATCATGGAATCCTAGCATGAGAAGACAGACAAATCCCAGGGTTAACCGGATCCCATAAGAAAAAATTGAGCATTACAGAGTGCGGCAACGGCATGATTAATTTTCCTCTCACAATGTGTGCTCCTTTCTTCCGGTTTAACAGTAAGGTTTTCCAACGTCACAAATGTAACTCACAAAGTGTAAGTTTATGTGAAATTCATGCTCGATAGGAAATTTTCAACTCAAGTAAATATAATTAAAGATTACATTACAGATCAAATTAATAGAAATGGCAGGATTCAGGAAACAAAATATAACCTGATCATTTGTCACAGCCTCATCGAGGGAATTTTGAGAGAACTGGGATAACAATGCATTTTGTGATGAAAGTCCATGAGAAAATGATTGTTGAGAGTGACCAGATGGTTGTGAGCGAAGCTGTGGTCCTTGCAATCCACTTGGCCCGGTGTTTGATTTCCTTTAGGTTATATTTCCAACCAAACAGCGTAAGTTGCCAAAACTATAAATACCATCGTTCTACGCAGGAACTTGACATCTTATCATATTCGGACAGAGTTTCAAATTGTCAGAAAGTTATTACTGAAGAGCGATGGTTTCTAAAGTAGATGATGTCACAGGTACAGTTCATAAGAGTTTGCATTATAAGTGACTTGTTCCTCCATCCTGTGCTTTCACAGGATCCTAAACAAAACTTCCACAGAATTATTACAAATAACAATCAAACGAGGCATACTTTCAGTTAAAAAGAAAGATCCACGAATGTAAATACACATACACATCGAAACTTCAAATCTACAAGTTCTCTCCATTTTTTTCTTTTTGGTCTTTTTTAACTTCTTATTATCAGAAAGAAAACCGGAATAAACGGCCAAACATGAGCGAAGCCGTCATTTAGCATAGCACATTTCTTTAAGGTAGTTTAGTTCTGAATCCAACGCTACCAAAGCATTCTCTCTAGATTGGAATGCGTTTGATCACGTCCAAACCAACCAACTGAACTTAATCTTAAACAAAATAGTAAAATCAGGCGGAACCAAAAAAAAAAAAAAACTATGAGTAAGAATAATGAATATGGAGCCGAGATGAACCAAGATGGATGGCTCGCAATCCTTTTATTATTATTATTGTTATTGTTCTTTCCTTTAGCATTTTGTGCGACAAGTATAGAATTCCTGTCAACTTTCCTTCATTTTCTTGTGATTCATACGGAAGGAGATAAGAATTCGAACCTTGTGTGAGGAGGAAGGACGGAGATGGAGCTGAGATCGGAGACCTTGTTGATCTTCATGTATATTTAAATGAGTCGGTGAATGTGGAAACCAGAGAATGATTTGCCGATTCGAAGACGAGAGTTTAATAAGTCATGAGAATCTGTCGTGAATTCAAATAATCAATGCCGAATACTTCTTGCGAGAGAAAGAGGTTTTGCTTTGGGCCAGGAGGGAGAGAGGCTAAGGAAAGTGAAGCAGTTGAACTGAGTGAGTGAGTACATAATCAGTGGGGAGGCGGGAGCGGGAATTTAACAATCCTTTCGGGTTTGAGCCAAGGGGTTGAATCACGGGTCATATTCGGGCCAAACTGCTCAACTTAAATTCTGTCTCCTGATGCCATACATAAATTTCTGAGTTATTAATAAAAGCTGGCGAACAAATGAATCATTGATAAAAAGAAATCTATCAAAGCTTCAAAAATTAAGAAATACTTCAATCCCATTTCTAAATACATATTTTTTAAATTCAATCATAATTAAACTCCAATTCAATGGCTATCTTTCTTAATTTTTTTTTAAAGTGCGGTTTTAGAATTTTTAGTGAAGTTATTCTA